TGGCTCATGTTGGCATGTGTTTATGTGTGAAGTATGTGGAGTGTAAGTCAGGAGTATGTGTGTGAGATATGGGGCCTGCGATGGTGTGTACCAGGGGTATGGTATAGGTGGAGGTCTGTGAATATTGAATATAGATGGTGTGTTATGTGTTTTTCAGATATATGAGGTGTGAGGTATATGTTTGTGTGTTTGTGTGGGATATACTGTGTGATATATGGGCTCATGCTGTGTGTATTTGTGAGGGAACATCTGCATGAGGCAGGGGCATGCAGTATATGTGGAGGTCTGATGGTGTTGAGTGTGGGAAGGTGTATTGTATGTTGTGTAGCTGTGTATGGTGTGTAAGCATGAGGTGTATGACTTGTGTTGATATGTGCTTGTGTGTGAGAGTTGTGGTGTATATGGAGGTCCTTGAGTGTTGAGGGTGTGGTATGTGCTATGTGTATTTATGTGTAATGTGTATGTGTGAGGCATGTGACTCATGTTGGTGTGTAAGTGTGAGGGGTTTGGTATATGTAAGAGGGTGGAGTGCGAATGCCTCATGCTGGCGTGTGAGATGCGTGGCAGGAAGCAGATGAACAACAGGAGAGGAACCCCACTGAACTGATGGTCTCGGGCGTGTGTTCATTCCTTGCATCCCAGCATCTTGCTGACACTGATCTGGGTCTGGGAACGTCTTTCCTGAATAAACATGATGTCATTTCCATTCCATTCAGCCTGCACTGGGACAGCTGCTGTCAGCATCACTGAGAGAAATGCCACCTCGGCCCTGACAGCTGCCACTTGGCACACTTTGTAGAAAGCTTCTCTGGGAAGAAAAAAAAAAAAACAGCCAGTCATGCAGATGCTATTTAAAGTATGTTGCATCCTGATGAGCCTGTGAAGGAAGCTAAGTGAGCTGGGGACCTGGAACCTGGGCTGGGCAGGGAGGTTGGGAAACAGTGCACATGCTCTGTGGGTCAGGGGGGAAAGTCATCCCTACTCCCATTTTACAGGTGAGCAAACTGGAATCTATGGAGGGCAGGGTGCCTGGAACTAGAAGGAATCGTTGACAGAGCACACGGGCAGGGTGTAATGACCAACATCTTCAAGTCTAACAGAAATTGATACTGATGGAGAGAGAAACTTAGATGCACAGAAGGAGGAAAGATTGGCCAAGGTCATACAGAAGACCCATCAAGACGCCAGGGTGAGAGATGTTCCATTATCTTAACCACACAGATATTTCCTGACTTGCATACAATAGGCACTGAGCAAATGCAGATCATGTGATGGTTCCTCTTCATGGAACCATGACTGTGTTTGGAATTACCTAGGAGACACACTTCTAGGTATGCATGCCTGTGAGGGAGCGTTGGGGGATTTGACTAAGAAAGGAAGACCCATGTGGATGGCACCGTTCTTTGGACCAGAGTTGTGGGCTGAATAAAAAGGAAGCATAGGAGGAAGGCAGTTGAGCACCTGCATTCTATTCTCCCTGTTTCCTTACTGGAAGCACCCATGCCTTCCCCACCATGATGGACGGTACTCTCAAACTGTGAGCCAAATTGAACCCTTCTTTCATGAAAGTGGTGCCCGCTTTTGTCCAATGTTTTGTCTCAGCAGTGGGAATGGTAACCGACACAGATGGCTCTTTATGGTGGCTGACCCCACTAGAACACCAGACTGCTCCCCTGCCATGGTGCTGCTGTCAGGTTCAGTGCAGTATTCAGTAAAGCTGATGAGGCAGACAGCACCTCCTCCTAAAATGGGCTATGTGTGAAATGGGTTTGCCTACTGTGGGCTGGTGTAGGTGTCTGAGTATGGTATGTTAGCCAGGCTAACATGTCAAGTCTCTGTGACAAAATACTCAGGAAATGGCTTGAGAAGGGAGGATTTATCTTGGCTCAGTTACTGTCCATCTCCAGCTCCTCCATTGTTTGGTGAGGACAGACCATCGCTGTGACAGCACCTGCTCCCTTCCCACAGGGCACCAACTTCAGGGACTGTGTCCACAACCTCAGAGAGGGGCCTTGTGCAACTTATAAATTACAGCTTATTTACAGCTTCCTGAATCTGGTTAACCCCCCTCCTCCCTTGGGGTGGGTGATGGGTAGGGAAACATTTCAATTCAGAGAGAATTGCTACCAGATGAACAACATGCCAGAAGGGCAGGATGGAGGGAAGTTGCTTGACACCAGGAACAAAGAGAAGAGAAGGACCAGGAACAAAGTATGTCCTTCAAAATCAAGGGACCACTAGTGGCCCCCCCATCTAGCAGTCTGTTCACTGTGGCTCAGTCCATCCATGGAATTAGATGATCCAGTCACCTCATGATAAAGCTGTGTTTTCACCTCACAACATTTAACACATGCCAACTCTTCCTGAGTTAGCCAAATTTCTTCCTTGCACGTGCTTTTCTTAGAGGGTCCATTCTCTGCCTGTCAAACTCCTATTCATCCTTCAAGACCCCACTTTAATATCAGCTCTTTGTTGAGACAGGGCAGATAATTTCGAATTCTGAATATTCCTTGGTCACGCATTTTACCACGAGACATTAAAGTGATGATCTCAATCTCCTGCAAACTCAGGAAGGACCAGAACAGTGTCTGCTCCCAACACCCAATTCCCATACTGAAGGATAAACAGTTCTGAAATGCTTTTTGAGTGGAGCCCTGGTACTGGTGGATGCTGGCTCCAGAGAAGCCAAACAGAGGAACATCCCTGGTGTGGCTCTAACTTTTTAGCCTGGTGAAGAAGGCAGCCTTTGGATTCACAGACTTCAGCCCCATTATTAATGTTCAGGCCTTGGCCTGCTTACTGTCAGATGCCCAAAGCTCACACCTGCAGATCCCAGGATTGAACTCAGGTTATCAGGCGTGGTTGTAGTACCTTTACCTGCTGAGGCATTTTGCCAGCCCATTGGATATTTTTCCTAACACACTGGGTAACTCAAGGGGATGTGTACATGGAGCCCTTCGGCTACAGAAGCCATCAAAGGTTATCTTCAACACATATGTACGTACATATACACAAACACACAAACCTGGGGCTGGTGTGTTGCTCAGCAGTAGAGGGCTTGCCAAGCATGTCTGACGCCCTGTGTTTAATTTCCAGCACCAAAAACTTTTGGTTGGTATGGTCTGGAATCTCCATTTAACTAGTCTCTTTAAAAGTCTCCTACTTGCTGGGTGTAGTGGTGCACACCTTTAATCCTAGCACTCGGGAGGCAGAAGCAGGAGGATCTCTGTGAGTTTGAGGTCAGCCTGGTCCACAGAGTGAGTTCCAGGACAGCCAGAACTTCACAGGGAAACCCTGTTTCCAAAAAACCAAAACAACAACAACAACAGCAACAACAACAAAAGTCTCCTACTAGTCAGGTTGTGATGTAGGATCAGTGAATAATACAACTATCTTATTTAAAACTATGAAAATGCCCTCCCTTTTCCAGCTGTGTATTTGCATGAGACCAGATGTTTTGCACATAGTTCAACAAATACAATTTATCACAGCAGACTAAAGGTCAAAGCCAGTAGGAGAATCTAGTTTCCTCCATCAAGAAACCTCTGCAAGGTTCAAGAATGCAAAGAAAGCCATGTTTCTCATTAAACTTTTCTTTTGGAAAGAAAGGATATATTATTTATCATAAAGATTATGTTGAACTTTTTAAAATATTTATTTCCTTAATTTTATGTTCATGTGTGTATGCCTGTATGTTTGTATGTGCACCATGTGTGTGCCAGAGTTCTCAGAAGTCAGAAGAGGGCATCAGATCCCCTGCAGCTGGAGTCACAGATGGTTGTGGGCTATAAAGTGGGTGCTGGGAGTCAAACCTGCCTCCTCTGCAGGAGCGGCCAGAGCTCTTAACCACTGAGTCATCTCTCTAGCCCCAAGGTCATGTTTTGAAAATTACTTCCCTTTATTTATTACTTTGGAGGGTGAGGCCCATGACACAACACACGTGTGAAGGTCAGAGGGCAGCAAGATGGGGATGATTCTCTCATTTCACCTTTACATGGATTGGGAGTACAGGTCAGGCTTGTGAAGCAAGTGCATTGCTTGCTGACCTCTCTTTGCAGCCCAAGATTATGTTTTTATGTGAACAGCTAACAAGTTCTTGGTCCTTTTTAAAAAATAACTCATTAAATACTTTAAGATTGAACTTTTGTGTTTTATAGTAAATATCACTTAACTGATAATTGTTGGAGGAGGCCGCTTGTTCTTCCCGGCTGCCCGGCTAGATTAGACCTGAAATAATCACACAGAAACCATATTACTTAAATCACTGCTTGGCCCATTAGCTCTAGTTTCTTATGGGCTAACTCTTACATATGAATTTAACCCATTTCTATTATCTGTGTATCACCATGTGGCTGTGGCTTACCAGCTAAAGTTCTGGCTTCTATCTCCGGTGGAGCTACATGAGTCTGTCTGACTCCACCCTTCTTCCTCCCAGCATGCAGCCTAGCTTTCCCCGCCTAGTTCTGTCCTTCCCTGCCATAGGCTCAAAAACAGTTCTTTATTCATTAATAGTAATCACAGCACACAGAGGGAAATCCCACATCAGATAATGGATACATTAGGCAATATTAATGAACACTGATTCAGTACCGTTTTAAGAATGTATAGAGCCAGTTGGTAGTGGTGCACGCCTTTAATCCCAACACTCGGGAGGCAGAGGCAGTCAGGTCTCTTTTGAGGCCAGCCTGGTCTACAGAGTTAGTTCTAAGACAGTCAGGGTTTAATAGTGAGACGCTGTCTCAACCCCCCCACCCACCCAAAAGAGTATAAAGGAGTTCAAAGACAAAATACATAAGATCTACCCAATGGAGGTTATTGTCTACACTTTCCAGGCAGAAAAACCAAGACTCACAGAGGCAAAGGGGTGATTCCACTAGTCACCCATATCTGAGCTTAGCTACAGATCCCACAGGCCCCTCCAACATTCCATCAGGGTTGGGATCTGACTTAGCAACCTTCTGAGCATTTCCCCCTTCGTGTCTGCCCTATCCTCCCGACAGCTGCCATAAAGGCTGTCTGACCACACAGGGATGCTGAGGCTCTTTGAAGAAGGCCACGTCTTTCCCCTAGGTCTGGCTGGTACAAGCAAACCAAAGGTAGGCTGATCCGAGTGCGGAATTTGCTTCTTCCCAGAATTCCCTGGGGAACCTGTGTGTGTGTCTGTGACACTAGTTCTCAGTTGGGCTTTTGAAAAGATGACAGCTGCAGGTGGGCCTATAATAACTACTCCATCTGTACTTTGTAATCTGAAGTCAGGCTGGCTTCCATATTATATATGGAGGTGGGAGTGCATTCTGTTTCCCTGGAGAAAACACTGTATCTCTGTTAGAACAACAGGTTGCTACATTACTTTCAAACAAAATAATTTGGTTACACTGAGTGATTGGTTCATTGGGAGATGATCAAAAGAGATTGATCCCCAGGAAAGAGCTGATGAGGGCACCGTTCAGGGGTGACCTGCAGGTAGGTGAGGCTTGACTTCACTTGTAGTCTATGATGGGGCTGCTTGGAACATACTTTGGAGAAGTTGGGCTGAGGAATAAGGAGACTGCCATGTTTATCCACCCACCCCTTCTCTTTAAGGACAGCCTAAGGGATTGTGACTCTCCAAGACTTGAGGCTCCTAGCCATCCATAGCTTCTGACCCTCCACTTGAAGTTGAGCTTGCCTTGAGATCTCTCTGTATGTCCCAACGTACGCGGAGAGGTACAGGAAGCCCCTCCCTGGGTGGAACCTTCCCACAGGTGACCTTGGGAGAGGGAGTTTCGGAGCTCCCAGCACATACTACAGCCCACAGCCACACTTTCCATAGTCACCAAATCCTTGATGGCGCCCCTCAGGAGTCACAGAAGCAAGACAAAGCAGTGGTGGGAGGGCCATGGAGCAGGGAGTTTGGGGCTCCGTGTTAGCCATTGCCTCAGTAAGTCACAGAACAGACAGCGGCGAGTGTGATGCCGGATTCCAAGCACTGCTTTTGTGCTCGGCCGACTGTGGCTGGGATCCTCTAGGCTCCTCTGGGACTGCTTGGACTTGGCTCAGGTTTTAAGTCAAGTCCAAGTCTGCTCCACATGACTCTCATTTTGAGAACAGTGGGTACCAGGGCTATTGTAGTGACGGATGACAGTTGCTCAGGAGACCAAATAAAACTCACAATGCCTTTTCAACTATGCTTTCTTCATAGAGAAGCTATCATTGGCCAAAATGAGCCCCCTTGGGTGGGAGCGGACATTCTATGGCTCCCTTGAGAGGCACTGACCAACCAGGGGGCAGAGGATGAGGCCCTATCACAGAGAAAATGAAGAGTCAGAGGAGACCACAGTTCTACTTTCTGGGGACTAAGAGCAAGGTCAGCTTTGAGCCCAGGTAGTGTGACTGATTCTCAAAACCGGAGGGGAGCAGCTGGCTATAGTGGCTTCTACCTTTAACCCAGCACTCGGGAGGGAGAGGCAGGCGGGACTCTGAGTTTGAGGTCAGCCTGGTTTGCACACCAAGTCCTAAGCCAACCAAGTAAGAACCTATTTCAGAAAACAAACAAACAAACAAAAAATGGGAACAGGGAAATTCTGCCCAAACAAACAAACAAAAAGTGGGAACACGGAAATTCTGCCTTCTGCCTGCTGACACCATAGCAGACATTTGAGGCCACTCATGACACCCTGAGGGCACAGAGGACAAGAGAACAATCACATCGAGCCTCCCGGCTGAGTGAGGGTGACTCCTGAGAGCCGCTCCCTGGCAGCAGGCAGACCCAACAGGACAGGTCTCTGTCTCCCCTCTGCAGCATGGGCCAGTCCCTTAACATGTCTGTGTGACTCACCCATAAAGTGAGATCTAACTTAACTGCCTCGATGTGACTGTCTGTCAATCCAGCTGTGTCATCAGTGTGGCACCTGGCAAGCAGGAAATATTCAGTGTATGATGATGTGTGAGGACAGCACTTTTATTATCCATGTACATTTTATCTTTCTAAAAAGTCTCACTGATGTATGTTTTCCACATTGTAAAATTGACACATTTTAAACAAATTTTAATTTTTCCAGGTAGCACCACCATCACAAACACTCAGTTTTAGAAGACTTCAACATGATTAAGATTTTTCAGACCTATTTACTATTAATTTCTTTCCCACTTTCTTCAGCCCCTGATGACCACTAATATGCTTTCTGTCTCAATATCTGTCTTTTCTGGAAACTTCTATAAATGCAATAGCTTATCAACTAACACCTTTTACTGAGCATGACACTGTCAGGACTCACTCATTAAGCAATGGTAATCTTGGGTCCTCTTTATGGTTAAGTAGTACTCTATTGTGTGGATCACCACCCTATTTTGTTTACCCATTCACAGCGATGGACTCTTCCAGCTTAGGCACTATAAGCAATGCTGCTCTGACCACCATCATAGGAATCTCTGTGTGAAAAATGCTCACTTTCCTCCTGGATAAAGAACCCAAGGAGTGGCTGGGACATATGGTAGGTTTTTTTGTTGTTGTTAAACTTTCCTTAAAAAAATTATTTTAGGGCTGGAGAGATGGCTCAGAGGTTAAGAGCATTGCCTGCTCTTCCAGAGGTCCTGAGTTCAATTCCCAGCTACCACATGGTGGCTCACAACCATCTGTAATGAGGTCTGGTGCCCTCTTCTTGCCTGCAGGATTATACGCAAACAGAACACTGTATATAATAAATAAATCTCTAAAAATTATTTTATCTATCATTATTAATGTTGTTGTTGCTAGTATTGGTAGTAACAGTAATGTGTGTGTACGTGTGGTGCGTGTGTAAGAGAGAATAATATATGTCTGACAGTAAGCGTGAGCACGTGCCACATACTGCGGCAGTCAAAGGACAACTTTCAGGAGTTGGTTCTCTCCTTCTGTTCCAGGTTTTGAAGTCAGGTCATCAGGCTTGTGTGGCAAGTGAGTCCCCTTGCTGAGCCATCCTCTCAGCCCTGTTCTGAACTTTTGGAGAAGCCAAGCTGTCCGAAGCAGTTTGCACCAGTTTACAGTCTTTGGCATCCTCTGTGACTCCTGCCTCCCCTTGTCCCAGTGTCTGCTCTGCTCTGAAGTGGTAGCTTGTTGTGGTTTTGTTTGTATTAATGACTAATGACTAAGTAATGAATCTCCTCATGCCTATCAAGAACACCTTACTTTAATAATGAGAAAGGAGCCAAGAGCTTGCTATCATAAATGTTACAGGATGGGCCCAGATGAAGGGCTGGGCCTCCTTGCCTCCAACTAGGGCAGCTTCATAGTCATGGACATGAGGCTGGCTTAACCCACCCTTACCAGAGCCCAGTCTAGGCTGGGATACCCTTCTGTTTCTACAGGAGCCAGGGCAGGGTATCACAGCAGAGTTCTTCCATGGTCTCCAGAAGGCCACCTGACCATTCCTGCAGATGTGGAACACATGCTATGTAGTGATCAAGAGTCCTGGCTTTGCTGGATACCACACCAATCAGATACTGGGGCCCAAGGACACAGAGAAGTGAAGGGAGATCTGTCCCTACCCACAAGAGACCTCTTATAGCACAGGGAAATCACCCTTTGTAGGCTAAAACTATGACAGTCTAGACAGAGGATTTTGGTGTAGTTACATGGTGAGCTCTTACTCCCATGGGTAAAGTTCTAAGTTCAATCCCCAATGCTGCAAAAACAACCAACCCAACAACAGCTAGATAGTGTGTACAAAGGGCTTGGGGTACCAGGCAATAGCCAGGAGTGCCATTCATTGAGGACCTTCATGTGTTGGGCAGAGACCTAAGTGGTTTCTGGTGGTCTCAGCAGCCTTATGACCTAGGTCCAGCAGAAGATATCTCTATTGGCTGATGGATTCATGGCTATCCTCTGGTCTATGGCTATCCTTTGGTCTCAGGCCCAAACCCACTGAATCTGCCCTGAAATGCCTATGGTTTGAGCTTCTAGAATCTTCCTCATTCTGCCCAACCTTTTCTCTCACAGACTGAGCTGCGCTACCAGAGTCAGGGACGTCTATATCCAAACAACACTGGCTGTGTTGTGTGTATTGTAATTACATCACTTAGCTAGATAAAACACAAAGAAATGAACTCTGTATAACAAAAGGAATGTGTTGAGAAAAACTAAACCAAGTGCTTTGGAAAATATGCAATAAGATTGGATTGTTAAAAATAAATCTGTTCGCTTGGTTTTGGGAGAGATTTGGGGTGGGAGGGAAGTATAAATGTGTAAGATTCCAAATTCCAATTGTTGCAACACATCCTTGCAGGTGGCTCCCATGAGGAAGGACCGCCACACTATGTGGTGCAGTCCACATAGAGTCAGACCCCAAATACCTTTATCCCACAACCTGGCTGTAGCTAACACTCTGACTGAACATTAGAATAAGCATTCTGGGTCCCTGTGAGAGTTTTGCTGTTGCTAGTTTGCTTGTTTTTAAAGACTAGGTTGGCTCTGCCTGCCTCTGTCTGTCCCTTGTCCGCTTCCTTACCACTCCTGAGTCCCTAAGCAGATGGCCTGGAGCCTGTCAGGCACCTGATAACCTCTGTTGGGCTACAATGGCCTATGTGGTTGGCGGGCTGTGGGGAGAGTGTGTGATAAAAGAGTCTGGGCAGTGAATGTGTGTGAAGTGGTGTTCTGAAGCCTCCCTGCTTTCTCTGGAAGGCTCCATCTCCACAGCTCTTTACAGATCAATCTAAACAATTCCTGGGTATCACTATGGAGATCTGTACTCTCAGGAGAAGGGCTGAACACGGCTCCAGGGACCCAGCTCAACACAGACCTCACTCACCTGTTTGCCTAACTTGAAAGGGGCAGGGGTCAGCCCTATGACATCTAAATCCACCCGAGAGCTCGGCCCCTGGTGGCTGCTCATGCAGGCCCTGCCCACCTCTCCACCTTTTTCTTGGAGGCACTGGTGCACTGAGATCCTGCCCTGCAGCTGTCCCCTAGGCCAGAAAGGTTGTAAAGGTAATTGAAGTGGGGTAATATCCACTGAAATTGCTGGGGCTTATGCTGTGATCTGGCAGCTGGAGCCCTGGTCCACTCTAAGGCTCTGTCTACTCATCTGGGAATTGGGGATGGTAGCATCCACCTTGAGAAAGGCTTACCTGGGTCCATAATGCTTGTTCTGACATTTATCTCTATGTGTGTCAGGGTATGTGACATAACTAGTCTGTAGGTCGCAAAACCCTCCCCCAGTGAGAAAGCAATAGTACCCACTTCATAGAAGCTCTGGATGGATTGAGTATGTAAAGCACTTAGAACACACCTGCAAGAGGTGTTGGTATTGTGTGGATGCTATTATCTTTCCTGTCATTTTTTTGTTTAAAATTTCACGGTTTGCTTTAGGCACAGGATCCTCTGGATCCCAGGGACTCTTGGCTACTGCTGCTGGGGAGAAAGCGGCTGAAATTATAGTGTACCAGCAAATAAGTTAGAGGATCCTCACCTCAACTCTCCAGATGGGGTAACTGAGAGCTCCCAGGGGTCACTCTGACCCAGAGCCTAAGGTCCCAGGACCTCAAAATCAGACAGACCTTGAGGCCTGGCCACACTAGGGATGGGTCCGTCTCTCGGAGGCCAGCTAGTCTCGGGCCTACTCGAGGCCCTGTGCTCTTCAGTACTGACCTCTGGGAATGCATGAGTTCAGTACTGACCTCTGGGAATGCATGAGTTCAGTACTGACCTCTGGGAATGCATGAGTTCAAGTTGCTCAGAGAAAGAACTGTGGGCAGTGCCAGAGGAGCAACACCTGAGGTTGGCCTGTGCCCTCTGCAGGCCTGAACTCACATACCTGCACACACATGTGCCCCGCACATATATAACCATGAGCACCTTTGGACAAATGTTTCATATTTGTCACTTTTGCGACTTCATGCGGATGTCCCTCTATACTCTGCTCCAGCTCCCTTCCCTGCACAGAGGCAGCCGTGGTCAGGCAGACCATCCTTCTGCTCGGCTCTTCTTTGTTTTTGTTTTTCTGTTTGTTTTGGAGACAGGCTCTCACTATGAAACCCTGCTTAGCCTAGAATTCTCTGTGGAAACCAATCTGGCCTTGAACTCACAGAGATTTACCTGCCTCTGATTCCTGAGTGCTGGGATTAAAAGTGTGCACCACCATGCCTAGCTAGACTACTTTTTCAAATCTAGAAACAATGTATTTTCTGCGTATGTTTTTATTTGGGGGATAAATAATGTGATTTTAACATCTTTCAACTTTTATTTCTTTCCTAAGGTGTCGTTAATAAAGTATCCCAAGCGGAATGGCTTCAAATCACAGCAGTGAGTTTTCTCAGTTTGGTAGGCTGGAGGTCAATTAGTTCATGTTCCTTGTCTGTCTCTGCTTTTGATGCTTTGTGACCGTCTTCTCTATTGGTGTCTGTGTCCAGATAGCCTACTTCTCAAGGGCTTGGAGTTCCAGTTCCAGAACCTGCGTAAAGGTGGGAGAAGAGAACCAACTCCACAGACTGTCCTCTGGGCATCCCACAATCATCATGACATGTGTGTTGCCCCCCCCCCCCACACACACATCGAATTTTAAAAGAAAATAAGAGTCTGTTTTTTGGTGGCACACACATGTAACCCCAATACTTGAGAGGTAGAGGCAGGAGGACTAGAAGTTCAAGGTCAGCCTCAGCTTCCTAGTGAGTTAGAGGCCAGTTGGGCTACATAAGACCCTGTCTCAATAAAACTAAAAACAAAACAGAAAACGCTACGTGTGGTGGTGCACGCCGTGGTCCTAGCGCTCAGAGGGCAGAAGCAGCTGAGTCTCTGTTACCCCCAGGCCACCCTAGACAATCAGAGGACGCTTGGAGGAGCTGGTCTTGTCATCCATCGCATGGCGCATGGTCTAACACAGGGACCGATTTTCCTTCATGAAGGGAAAGCTACTTACCCATTTCCACCAAAAGGGCTCTTCTTGTTGAGACAGAAAATGGTAACCTGTTCTACCTGTGTGCTCTTGGCACCTTTTGCTGCTTCATTTGCTCACAGGCACACAAACCTCCAGGCTAGGGTCATTATTTACCAGGCTCTATAAACAAGGCAGGCTATTGCCCAGGTCAAACCCATCCCTGTCCTATCTTAGATCCTGTCCTATCTAGCCATCTGATGTTTTCACCCTTATAGAATTTTAGAATTAGTTTGGCAGATTTAGTGAGCAACCTCATTGGAACTGATATTGTACTGATGTCATGAATACATGTGGGGAAATGAAGGGCGTCATGTGTCCTTCTCTATGAACATAGTCTATATACTCACTGCCTCTTATTTTCTTTCTTTTTCCTTTTCATCAGGGTTTTAGGTAATCCAAGGCTGGGCTAAGATTGGCTATGTGGGGGAGAATAGCCTTGAACGTGTGATCCTCCTGCCTCATCTCCCAAGTTTTGTGACTTTAGGTGTGTCACCATGCCTGGTTTTATTTGGTGTTAAGGATTGAAGCCAAGGCCTTATGCATGGAGCTACATCCCAACCCTATATATACATTTATTGATCCATGTGTGTGTATATGTGATGTTTATGTGTGTATCATGAGTATATGTGCTTGTATATCTATGGTATGTGAGTGTATATCTATATGGTGTATACATGCTTGTGTTCTATGTGTGTGCATATGTTTGTGTGTGTTTATTCTGTGTATGTATATGTGTATATGTGCATGTTCTCCATTTGTATTTACACATCCTCTACAGCATGACGACTCATTTTTGGTCAGTAGATTACTAAGCTCTTAAGTTTTCAAATCCCATCTTATTTTAGTATAATATCAGTCATTGCTAATAAGCAAGCATGCTGTGGATTTTCCATGTTGATCTTGTAGCCCCGCTTCCAGAGGATTTCCTCACTCCCTAGTCCCAGTCACCAGGAGGAGCTTTGAATATGGTGACTTGCAGGATGTCAGAGAAAGATGTATTGGAGATTAGATATGTAGAACACAGACTAGGCATCTGACAGATCAGTCTGAGTTCGAATCCTGCATCTGCCATGTACTAGCTGGGGAAGCTACTTAACCTCCCTACACTAATGTTCAAATCCACTCTACCCTGCATCACTGCAGAGTATGGCAGGAGACAAATCAAGTGCCCTATATGTAAATCCCGGTCTCTAGCCTCCATCTTTGGAGGCCCCGCCCCTATGCCCTTTGCACCTTGACACCTCCCCGAAGAGGGTCA